TTTCCCAATAAGAGTGATAGAAACAGTGTGGTGGGCTGCAGATAATCTAGGCATTTCCTACAGATAGCCCTGGTCTGTTACCCTGCCTTGCTTATTTATTCACTAGGGACCTAGGGAAGACCACTCAACTTTTCTGAATCTCAGTTTTCTCATTTGTAAAATGGAAATAAAAATGAATACCTCACCAGTTGTGAAAATTAAATTTTAATCCAGAGCTTTTCCAAAGGAGACTGAATACATTAAGATTTCCTTCACTACCACCTTTCTAGCCACTCTCCTCTAAATCTGTAAAGGTTACCAAAATTAGTGTTTTATATACAGTGTGTGTGTGGACTAGATATACCAAAATATCAACAGCTGTTATCTCTGAGAAGTAGAATAATGAACATTTTTTTTCCTCTTTGCACTTTTCTGATTTTCCAAATTTGCTATCATTTATAATGAAGATATTGGGGTTTGTTTGTTTTTTGAGATGGAATCTCACTCTGTCACTGAGGCTGGAGTTCAGTGGTGCCATCTTGGCTCACTGCAACCTCCACCTCCCAAGTTCAAGCGATTCTCCTGCCTCAGCCTCCTCAGTAGCTAGGACTACAGGTACACCACCACGCTTGGCTAATTTTTTGTTTTGTTTTGTTTTGTTTTTTGAGACGGAGTCTCGCTCTGTCGCCCAGGCTGGAGTGCAGTGGCTGGATCTCAGCTCACTGCAAGCTCCGTCTCCCGGGTTTACGCCATTCTCCTGCCTCAGCCTCCCGAGTAGCTGGGACTACAGGCGCCCATCACCTCGCCCGGCTAATTTTTTGTATTTTTTAGTAGAGACGGGGTTTCACCGTGTTAGCCAGGAATTTTTTGTATTTTTAATAGAGACAGGGTTTCACCACATAAGCTAGGATGGTTTTGATCTCCTGACCTCATAATCTACCTGCCTTGGCCTCCCAAAGTGCTGGGATTACAGGCATGAGCCACCACGCCTGGCTGCCACTGTATTTTTAAGAGCTGATTTTTACTTCATGCTTTTTCCTTGCTTTGTCTTTGACTTTTGACAATTTCACTGTAACATGCCTCAGAGAGGACCTGTCAGCTCTTCCAAGTTCAAATCTGCCCTTGAATTGGCCAAACTACTGAGATCTCCCCCAAATGGGAGAGGCCCGTGAGCTTCCAAGCAACTGATACAACCCTGGGCCAACAGAGAGGCTATGGACCTGGGCTCAGGACCTAAGAAACAGCCCCTCAGTACCCTGCCCCCTGCAAACACACTCCTGGTCTTCTTGATGACCCTCCACCCCCAGTAAGGGCCTGCAAAACAATCCCATAAGCTGCCTCTGATAAGCACAGTCCAAGGCTGGCTGAACAGCTAAGAGCCCATGTCTCAGACCTAAAAACAGCCCAGTGGGCCACTCCTGGTGGACATATCCCAGACAAGCCAAGCAACCACGTGCCTGCATACTGGGCCTGAGAAACAGCCCTTCAGGCTGCCCCTAATGGCCATGTCTCTGAACTGGCTGAACAGCCTCACACTTGCATTCCAGACCTGAAAAAAAAAATGTAGGCTGCTCCTAGCAGACATGCACCCAAACCAGCTTGAGAAGCTGTGCACCCACATCCCAGGCTCAATAAACAGGCCTGAGAAACAAATCTGTTGGCAGCACCTCTGGTGGGCACACCAAGAGACTGAAAAAGCAGACCTGTACCTGTGTCCCAGGCCTACAAAGCAGCTTCATGTACTACCACCTACAGAAATGTCCCCAAGCCAGTCAAACAGCCTTGTGCCCACATCTTGAGCCTAAGAAGCAGCCCCATGGGCCGCCCCCAGGAGACACACCCCCAGGCTGGCTGAGCAGCAGTGTGCCCATGTCCAAGACACGGAAACAGCCCCATGGATCACCCTCAGTGAACATGCACCCAGGCCAGCTGAGAAGCCATCTTTTTACATCTTAGGCCTGAAACATAGCCATGTGCTCTGCCCTTAGAAAACATACCACTAGAAAAACTGAGCAGTGTAAGCAGTGTCCTGGGCCTGAGAAACAGTGCTGCACAATGCTCCTGGCAGGTATAACTCCAGGCTGGCCAAGCAACAGTATGTCCATGCTCCTGGCCAGATAGCCCATGGCCTCAATCCCAGAGAGACAGACCCCAAGCTAGCTGACTCAACCCCAGCTGGAGAAATAGCCAGACAAGCCGAGCTTTGGCTAAGCTACACCACCATCACCACAAATTCTGTTAGCCTAGGCCACTGAGAAACTCACAATACCACTAATGTGGATTATGGCTGAAGAAACTACACAGAGACTATATACTGCATCCACCTAGAACCAAGATCAATGTACCCCATCAGAACAATAGCGCAAGACTTATTCATACAAACAAGTCCCTACAAAGCCCATAAAATTACAAGAGGTGACTTTCCCCCCAGATGAATAGGAATCAATGTAGAAACATATCGACCATGAAAAATCAAGTACATATGTTATCTCCAAAGGAGGTAACAGATCCCAATCATAAGATAATATGTGAAATGCCAGAAATAGAATTCAAAATAAAAACCTTAAGGAAATTCGGTGAGATGTAAGAGAATACATTATACACAATTCAATGAAACCAGGAAAATAATTCCTGATTTGAATGAGAAATACAGCAAAGAGCTAGATATCATAAAATAGAACCAAACAGAAATCCTAGAGCTGACAAATTCAATGAATGAAATTTAAAAATACAACCATGACCTTCAACAACAGACTAGATCAAGCAGGAAAAATAAATTCTGAACCTGAAGACAGCTCTTTTGAAATAATACAAGCAGGCAAGAAAAAGGAAAAGAGAATAAAAAAGAATAAAGAAAGCCTATAGGATTTATGGAATACCATTAAACTAACAAATATTCATATTAGGGGTCTTCTAGAAGGAGAAGAGAAGGGAAAAGGTAAGGAAAATATATTTAATGAGATAATAGCAGAAAATTTTCCAAGTCTTGGGAGAGAGACGTACATCCTGGTCTGGTAAGCTTAAAGAACCTCAAATAGATTCAATTTAAACAGGTCCTCTCTGAGGCATGTTATAGTGAAATTGTCAAAAGTCAAAGACAAAGCAAGAAAAAAGCATAAAGTAACATGTAAGAGAATTTCCATTACATTAAACATGGATTTCTAGGCAGAAACCAAAATAATAAAATTATATGTTCAAATTACTTAAAAGAAGAAACTCCCAGTCAAAAATGTTATATCCAGCAAAGCTATCCTTCAGAGAAATAAAAATCTTGCACAGATAAGCAAACACTAAGGAAACTGATCACCACTAGAACAGGTTTACAATAAATGCTCAAGGGAATCTTACATCTAGAAGTGAAAAGACAATAACCATCTTATGAAAACATGTGAAACCATAAAATTCCCCATGTTAGGCCATTCTTGCATTGCTATAAAAAAATATCTGAAACTGGGTAATTTATAAAGAAAAGAGGCTTAATTGACTCATGGTTCTTCAGGCTTTATAGGAAACATGGTGCTTTCATCTGCTTGGCTTCTGGTGAAGCCTCAAGAAGTTTCAATCATGGGTGAAGGTAAAAAAGGAACAGGCACACACATGGTGAAAGCAGAGGTAAGCAAGAGAAGGGACACAGGTGTCACACACAAACAACCAGATCTCACAAGGCAATCGCTATTGCAAAGATAGCATTAAGCCTTAAGAGATCTTCCCTCATGACTAAAACACCTCCAACCAAGCCCCACCTCCAACACTGGGGATTACAATTCAACATGAGATTTGAGTGGGGACAAATATCCAAACTATATCATTCTGACCCTGGCCTCTCCAAATTTAATGTCTTTCTCACACCGCAGAACACAACCATGCCTTTACAACACTCTTCCAAAGTGGTAATTCATTCCAGTGTTAACTCAAAAGTCCAAAGTCCCATCTGAGACAAGGCAAGTCCCTTCCACCTATGAACCTTTAAAATCAGAAACAAGTTATTTACTTCCAAGATACAATAGAGGTATATACATTGGGTAGATATCCCCATTCTAAAAGGCGAAAATCGGCCAAAAAAAAATAAAAAAAGGACTTACCGGCCCCATGCCAGTTCAACACCCAGCAGGGCAATCATTAAATATCAAAGCTTCAAAATAATCTCCGTTGACTCTGTCTCCCACCATTCAGGGCACACTGGTGTGAGGAGTGGGCTCCCAAAGAGGAGCAGGTATGCAGAAAGCAGTGTCTTGAGGCTGTGCAGGGCAGCAGAGCCTTGGGCATGGGCCCATGAAACTGGTCCTCCTACGCCTCAGAAAGGTGGGGGCCTGCCCTGTGATGGGAGGGGCTGCCTCAAAGGTCTCTGAAATGCCTCTAAGGCTTTTTCCTCGTTAGTCTTGGATATTAGCATTTGGCTCCCTTTTCGTTATGCAAATATCTCTAACAAGTGGTTGCTCCACAGCCTGCTTGAATTCCTCCCCTGAAAAAGCTTTTTCTTTCTTTGTCACAAGGCTAGGCTGCAAATTTTTCAAAATTTTATGCTCTGCTTCATGTTTAAATATAAATTCCAACTTTAAGCCATTTCTTTACTCCCATACCTGAGTATAGGTTGTTAGAAGCAACCAGTCAACTTCTTGAAAACTTTGCTACTAAGAGATTTCTTCCACCAGATCCCCTAGGTCATCACTCTCAAGTTTAAATTTCTACAGATCTCTAGGTCATAGACACAATACAGCCAAGGTCTTTGCTAAGGCATGACAAGGGTGACCTTTGCTTCAGTTCCCAATAACTTATTCATCTCCATATGAGACCTCAGCAGCCTGGACTCAATTGTCTATATCACCTTTAGAATTTTTGTCTCAACCATTTAACCAGTCTCTGAAGTTCCAAACTTTCCCTCATCTTCCTGTCTTCTTGTGAGCCTTCCAAACTCTTGCAACTTCTGCCCAGTACCCAGTTGTAAAGTCACCTCCACAGTTTCAGGTATTTCATAGTGTCATGTAAGTATGTGTGAAGAGACTTCACCAACAGGCTTTGTGTGAGCAGCAAGGCTGTTTATTTCACTTGTGTGCAAGTGGGTTGAGTCCAAAAAGAGTCAGCAAAGGGAGATAGAGGTGGGGCACTTTTATAGGATTTGGGTAGCTAGTGGAAAATTACAGTTAAAGGTGGTTATCTCTTGTGGGCAGAGGCAGGGATCACAAGGTGCAGGATGGGGAGATCATGAGACTCATTGTCCAGGGGAGGAATGTCACAAGGTCGACTGATTCATTGGGGTGTGGCAGGAACAAATCACAATGCTGGAATGTCATCTTTTGTGGTTCTTCAGTTGCTCCAGGTCCTCTGGATGTATACGTGTAGGTCACAGGGGTTATGATGGCTTAGCTTGGGCTCAGGCCTGACATTCCTGTCTTCTTATATTAATAAGAAAAACAAAACAAAATAGTAGTGAAGTACTGGGGCAGCAAAATTTTAAGGGGTGGTATGGAGAGATAATGGGCAATGTTTCTCAGGGCTGCTTCAAGCGGGATTAGGGTTGATGTGGGAACCTTGAGAGGGAGAAATTAAAGTGAAGAAAGCTTTTAGGGTCAGGGGTGATATTGTGGGGTTGTTAGAAGGAGCATATGTCATATAGAATGATTGGTGACGGCCTGGATGCGGTTTTGTGTGAATTGAGAAACTAAACGGAAGACACAAGGTCTGAATAAGAGAAGGAGAAAAACAGGTATTAAAGGACTAAGAATTGGGAGGACCCAGGACATCCAATTAGAGAGTATCCAAGGGGGTTCCGCATAATTATTTGCTTGGTTGGCGAGTTTTGGGGCTCTATCCTTGAGTTTTTTTATTAATATGTTGTTATATACCAGGCCAGATTGATTTAGGTAAAAACAACATTCTTCATTTAAAAATATAGAGTCCTCTTTTTTTTTTTTTTAGCAGTGAGTAAGTCGAGGCCTCGGTGATTTTGGAGCAAAGAGACATGCAAAGTCAGCGACTGTTGTTAAAAAAGGATTAGAAAGAGCTACAAGAGAGTGAGTGAGATTGATGGTGTAGTGGAGATAGCTGGGGAGAGGTAGAGGGTGGCATAAGAATGGGAACCAGAATAAGAGTGAGTATAAAAGTAAAGAATAGGACTTCATCAGGGTGAAAGCATTGGAGGATGCCCTGTCAGCAAAGATCATCGACCCACTCTATGAGGGAGTCAAGAGTGGCAGTTTGAGGTAAAACCAGGAGATATCAATTATGATGGTTTAGAGAAAAAGTGTAAACTAGCATTGTAAATAAGGGCAGGGCATTTATGAGTAGTTGGGAATGGTGAATAGAAGTATGACTAGACAGAAGATAGTAGGGATGACAAGTTTTTAGGGTGCAATCCAAGTAGTGGGGGTGACTGTGTAAAGCCCTGTTACAAAAAGTAGAGTAAGGATGAATAAACCTAATAGAATGAAGGGATGTATTAAGCTCATAAAGGTGATTACTGTTATTCAGAAATGTGAGCGAGTTTAAGGGAAGTAGGGGTGAGTACTTGAGGCTTCCAGGAGGAAGAGGAGAGATCAGGCTGGCTGGCTGACAGATACAGCTTTATTCTGGAACAGTGATATGGAGGGGGACAAATCACTGGAAGAGGAATGGAAAGGGTCCTGCAGGCAGACAGCCGTTGGGGTACTATAGATGACTAAGTAGGGTCTGGTCCATCGAGGTTGTAGAGTTTGAGGGGTCAGATTCTTAACAAGAACTGATCGTCCAGCTAGGGTGTCTTCATATGGCTGGGAATGTAGAGTAGGAAAGAGAAGATTAGCAGCCTGGTGAATTTTCTGTCTAGCCTTCTGGAGGACTGGAGGATAGTCACCTAGAGAGCTGACATCTGGGATGAGGTTGGTGTTGAGCAACAAAGTGCGTCCATATAAAAGTTCAAATGGACTGTACCCTGTAGCATCTCAAGGACAGGCTCTAATTCTGAGAAAGGCAAGAGGCAAAAGTACTGTCCAGTCCTTTTTAAGTTGGCAGCTGAGCTTAGTGAGGTGTGTCTTTAAAAGACCATTAGTCCGTTCTACCTTTCCTGAAGATTGAGGATGCTAAGGGGTATGAAGGTTCCACTGAATACCAAGAGCCTGAGAAACTGCTTGGGTGATTTGACTAATAAAGGCCAGTCGATTATTGGACTATATAGAGGTGGGACGGCCAAACTGAAGAATTACATCTGACAGAAGGGAAGAAATGACCATGGTGGCCTTCTTAGATGCTGTGGGAAAGGCCTCTACTCATTCAGTGAAAGTATCTACCCAGACCAAGAGGTATTTTAGTATCCTGACTCAGAGCATGGGAGTAAAGTCAATTTGCCAGTCCTGGGCAGGGGCAAATCCCCAAGCTTGATGTGTAGGGAACGGAGGGGGCCTGAACAATCCTTGAGGAGTAGTAGAATAGCAGATGGAACACTGATAAGTCATTTCCTCGAGGATAAATTTCCATGATGGAAAGGAAATGAGAGGTTCTGAGAGATGGACTAGTAGCTTGTAACCTATATTGAAGAGGTTATGAAAGGATGACAGAATAGAATGGTCCTGTGAGACTGGAAGGAGATATTTTCCTTGGTTCAAGAACCATTTGACTTGATTGGGGAGAGATCGATAGGTGGAAACTTCCATGGGAGAGTAAGTAGGAGTGACTGATGAGAAGGAGAAAAACTGGCCGTGAGGGAAAGAAGTAGGAATACTGGCTGCTTCTTTAGCTGTCTTATCAGCATAATTGTTGCCTTGAGCAATGGGGTCTGAGGCCCTTTGATGGCCTTTGCAGGGAAGGACTCCAGCTTCCTTTGGAAGTAAAGCAGCCTTGTGGAGAGTTTTTATTAAAGAGGCGTTAATGATGGAGAACCCTTGCACAGTGAGAAAACCTCTTTAAGCCCATATAACAGCATGGTGGTGCAGGATATGGAAGGCATATTTAGAGTCAGTATAAATATTGACAAGCCATCCTTTTGCAAGACTGAGGGCTTGAGTTAAGGCAATGAGTTTGGCTTGCTGAGAGGTAGTGGAGTGGGGCAGAGTGGTAGCCTCAATGATAGATGTGGAAGATACTTATAGCATAGCCTGCCTTTGCTGGTAAATGGTGATTAGGCCTGGTGGAGCTGCCATCAATAAACCAAGTGTGATCAGGGAGAGGAACAGGAAAGAAGAAAATATGAAGAAATGGAGTGAATGCCAGGTAGATTAGAGAGATACAGTCATAGGGATCAGGTGTGGTATCAGGAATAATGTGGGAGACTGAAGTCCAGGCCAGGAACAATGGTAATTGTGGGAGACTCAACAAAGAGTGAGTACAGCTGAAGGAGCTGGGGGGCAGAAAGTATATGTGTCAGGTGTGAAGAAGAAAATAGATTTTGAAAGTTATGAGAACTGTAGAGTGAGTTGAGCATAGTTTGTGATTTGGGGGGCCTCTAAAAGTATTAGAGTGCCAGCAGCTGCCACACGCAGACATGAGGGCCAGCCTAAAACAGTAAAGTCAAGTTGTTTGGACAAAAAGGCTACAGGGTGTGGTACCGATCCTTGTATAAGAATTCTGACTGCACAGCCCTGCACTTTGGTTGTGTGTAATGAAAAAGGTTGGGATGAGTCAGGGAGAGCTAGTGTGGGAGGAGTCTCTAGAGCTGTTTTTAAGGAACAGAAAGAGGAGTAGGGAAAGGATTTAGGATCTATGGGGTCAGGTAGTTTTCCCTTTGTGAGTTTATATAATGGTTTCCTTAGGATGGCAAAACCAGGTATCCAAAGGCAAAAGTATTCAACCATGTCTTGGAAGGAAAGGAGTTCTTGCTTTGTAGAAGGGGTTGGGGTTTGAGAGATCAGCTGGACACAACCGGCAGGAAGCACATGCATGTTTTCATGAAGAATTATGCCGAGGTAGGTAATGGTTGAGGAAGACATTTGAGCTTTGGATGGGGATACATGATATCCCTTGGAGAACATAAATATTGGAGGAGCAGGAGGGTGTCTTGTTGAGAAGATTCAAAGGAGGGGCTACAAAGTAGAAGGTCATCAATATATTGAATAAGTTGAGAAGCAGAGGGCTGGAAAGAAAGTAAATCATGAGAAAGAGCTTGGCTGAAGTAATGAGGGCTGTCCCTGAAGCCTTGTGGCAGTGTAGCCCAGGTAAGCTGCTGGGACTGATGGAAGTCAGGGTCAGTCCAAGTAAAAGCAGAAAGGCTGTAGGACCAGGGGTGCAGGGGAATAGTGAAAAAAGCATCTTTAAGATCAAGAATGGAATAGTGAATTGTGGAAGGGGGTATTGAAGATAGGAGGGTGTATGGGTTTGGCACTATAGGAGGGATGGGAAGGACAATTTGATTAATAAGGCAAAGATCCTGAACCAACCTGTAAGACTTGTCTGGTTTCTGGACGCATAGGATAGGGGAGTTATAAGGAGAATTTGTAGGCTTTAAGAGGCCATGTTGTAACAGATGGGTGATAACAGGCTTTAGTCCCTTAAAGCCTGTTGTGGGATGGGATACTGGTGTTGAGCAGGTAAGAGTGATTAGGTTTTAATGGGATAGTAATGGGCATGTGATTGGTTGCCAGGGAGGGAGTAGAGGTGTCCCATACTTGTGAGTTGAAGTTGGCGGATATAAGAGGAGGACACAAAGGAGGCTTTGGGTTGGGGAGAAGGGCAGCAATGAGATGTGTCTGTAGTCCAGGAATAGTCAGGGAAGTAGATAGTTAAAATTTCTTGACCTAATAAGGGAACTGGGCAGGTGGGGATAACTGAAAAAGAGTGCATAAAAGAATGTTGTCCAAGTTGGCGCCAGCATAGGGGAGTTTTAAGGGGTCTAGCAGCCTGGCCGTCAATACCCGCAACAGTTATGGAGGCAAGGGAAACAGGCCCTTGAAAGGAAGGTAATGTGGAGTGGGTAGCCTCTGTATTGATTAAGAAGGGAAGGAATTACCCTCCATTGTAAAAATTACCCAAAGCATCTATGATGGTCCAGGAGGCTTCTGAGGTGATTGAGCAGTGTCAGCTTTCAGCCGCTAAGCTGAGAAGACCTGGAAAGGAATCAATCCGAGAGGCTTGGGCTAGAGTTCCAGGAGCTCTGGCAGTGGCTGCCGGGCAAGTAGTCTGATTTCCGGTGGGGTCCCGCACAGATGGGACATAGCTTAGGAGGAATCCTGGGCTGTGGGCATTCCTTGGCCCAGTGGCCAGATTTCCAGCACTTGAAGCAAGATCCTGGGGGAGGAGGTCCTGGAGGAATGCCTGGCCACTGTGGTTTAGGTGTTTTGAAGTTCTTGTGTGCTGTAGATGTGACTGGGGTTTCTCTCAGAGCAGAGGCAACTAATTGCAACTCAGAAATATGTTGTTGCTTGACTGCCTCTTCTCTATTATTGTACACCTTGAAGGCGAGGTTAATTAAATCCTGTTGTGGGGTTTGAGGACTGGAATCTAATTTTTGGAGCTTTTTCTAATGACAGGAGCAGATTGGGTAATAAAATGCATATTGAGAATAAGACGGCCTTCTGGTCCCTCTGGGGCCAGAGCAGTAAAGCATCTAAGGATTGTTGCCAAACGGGCCATGAACTGGACTGGGTTTTATAGTTGATGAAAAAGATCCTAAATGCTAACTGATTTGGGAGAGGTTGGATAAAGAAAAGGAGAATTAACCTTGACTATACCTTCAGCCCCAGTCACCTCTCTAAAAGGAAATTGTTGGGAGGGCTAGTCATGGAGCAAAACTATAAGCTGGACCGGGTGTGAGGAGGGGAGGTGATAGAAGGATTATAGGGTGGGGAAGTGGAGGTTGAGGAAGAATTGGGACCTGGCTCGGCCTGGCGAGGGGCAGCCTGGAGAGGAGGGGAGAGGCCAGATAGGTCCATAGAAAAGGAGGATTCAAAGGACTCAGAGCTTGGGGTGGAGACTGAAGGAACAGACAGGAGTGAAAAAAGAAAGATTTGGTATGAGTCGCATTGGGAGCAGATACTAGGGAGGGACCAATATGTAAAAGAATGCCTGGACATCAGGCACCTCAGACCAAATGGCCCATTTTACGACAAAAATTATCTAGATCTTTTAGGATGGAGAAATTAAAAGTGTCATTTTCTGGCCATTTAGAACCATTGTCGAGTTTGTACTGGGGCCAAGCGGTGTTACAGAAGAAAATAAGAGGCTTAGGTTTTAGATCAGGGGAGAGTTGAAGACATTTTAAGTTTTTTGGAACACAGGCTAAGGGAGAAGAAAGAGGAAAAGTTGCCCATAGTAAAAAGGTAAATTTAGAGAAAACAGAGGGTAGAGACATAGAGGGAGGGAGGTGGTATGTGCCACCCAGGGGAGGTGGTACTCGCCACCAAGGTGAAGGAACAAGGCAGGCATCCCTGCGGTGATCAGACACATCTTGAATGTGGGTGAATAATCAGGCAGGCATCCCCGCAGTGATTAGACACCAAAGGAAGACTATCTTTTCGATTCCATGACCAGTGCTGGAGTTTTGAGTTCACAGATAAAACGCATCTCCTCTGTCTCTACAAGAAAGGGAAAGGAACTGAAATTAAGGAAGGGAGAGATTGAAGGGTGGAAGGATAGCGAGAGAGGTTGGAGGAGAGAATAAAAAGAGGCTGTTTACCTGATTTAAAATTGGTAAGATGTTCCTTGGGCTGTTCTAAGGACCCGAGGTTGTAGGTGGATCTCCTCACGAAGAGAGGGTGAGGACAGGGGACCCGTCCCCCAAAGGAGACCCCTGTCCCAGGTCTTCAGCACCAAACGTCATGCGAATCCATGTGAAGAGACCACCAAACAGGCTTTGTGTGAGCAATAGAGCTTTTTAATTGCCTGGTTGCAGGCAGGCTGAGTCCAAAAATGGAGTCAGCCAAGGGAGATAGGGGTGGGGTAGTTTTATAGGATTTGGGTAGGTAGTAGAAAATTACAGTTAAAGGTGGTTATCTCTTGCAGGCAGGGGCAGGGGTCACAACATGCAGGATGGGGAGATTATGAGACTCATTGTACAGGGGAGGAATGTCACAAGGTTGATTAATTAGTTGGGGTGGGGCAGGAACAAATCACCACGGTGGAATGTCATCTTTTATGGTTCTTCAGTTGCTCCAGGCCCTCTGGATGTATACATGCAGGTCACAGGGGTTATGATGGCTTAGCTTGGGCTCAGAGACCTGACACAGCAATGTTCCACTGCTGGTACCAATTTTATGTGTTAAGCCATTCTTGCATTGCTATAAAGAAATACCTGAGACAGTTATATATAAAGAAAAGAGGTTTAATTGCCTCACAGTTCTGCAGACTTTACAGGAGGCATGGTGCTGGCATCTGCTCAACTTCTGATGAAGCCTCAGAGAGCTGTCAATAATGGTAGAAGGTGAAGAGGGAGCAGGCACATCACATGGCAAAAGCAGGAGCAATCCAGAAAGTAGAGGGTAAGTGCCATACACTTAAACAACCAGACCTTGTGAGTACTCACTGTTACAAGGACATCACCAAAACATGAGGGATCTACCCCCATGACCCAAACATCTCCCACCAGACCCCACCTTCAACACTGGGGATTATAATTCAACAAGAGATCTCAGTGGGAAAAAATATCCAAATTATATCACTCCCTGGTAGAGCTGATACATAAAGGAAAAAGAAAAAGGAATCAAAACTTGTCACTACTGAAAACCACTCAACCTCAAAAATAAACAATAAGAGAGAAAGGAGCAAAGAATATATTAAAAAACCAGAACACAATCAATAAAATGGCAGAAGTCCTCACCTGGCAACAATAACATTGAATGTAAATGGCTTAAATTCCCCCACTTAAAAGAGACTGACTGGTTAAATGGATAAAAATACAAGATCTCTCCCCAAAAATACGCTGTCTACAAGAAACACACCTCACCTGTAAAGACACACATGGACTGAAAAATGAAAGGATGTGTTATGCCCAGACCATTTATTCCCCAAAGAAGACCACCAGAGTCCAGAGTTAAAGCTAAGCAGCAAGGATCTTTATTACAGGTTCGAACCTGGAACTCTCCCTCGCTCGCGAAACGAGACGGGCAGGAGAGCTCCCCCACTGAGCTCCGAGCAGTGTTACATAGTCTAAGAAAAGTGGGCATAGAATTATTATACAAATCAGATATATGATTGGCTAGTGTTTGAACAAGGCGATTTGGCTAACTATGATTGGTTCCCGCCATTTCTGATATTTCGGTTCAACCTTTGAGGCAGGAGAGCAGGTTTATGGCAGCAAGAGTTTATCTTACTTAAACACATCTTGTGACCTTGCCTCAGAACTTACAAAATTTCTGGTACGTGCGGAAAAACAGGTACTCACAGAACTTACGAAATCTCTGGTATGTGCAAAACAAAATCTCTGGTATGTGCAAAACAAAATCTCTGGTACGTGCAGAAAAACAGGTACTCACAGAACTTACGAAATCTCTGGTATGTGCAAAGATTAGAGAGCAGAACAAAGGGTGTAGCGGGGGGGGGCGGGTACACATCTATCTTTGTGTCCTTTCAGATGGAAACAGATATTTGATGCAAATTGAAGCCAAAAGTGAGCAAGAATAGCTATACTTATATCAGACAAAACAGACTTCAAGTTGAAAGCAGTAAAAAGAGACAAAGAAGGACATTGTATACATAATAACAGAATCAATCCAGCAAGAGAATATAACAATTATAAATATATATGCAACAAATACTGGAGCCCTCAGATATATAAAACAAATATTATTAGATCTACAGAGAGAGATAGACTTCAATATAATAATAATTGAGGACTCCAACACCCCATTTTCAGCATTGGACAGATCAGCTAGATGGAAAATCAACAAGGAAATATCATATTTAGACTGCACCATAGACCAAACAGACCTAACAGACATTTACAGAACATTTCACCCAACAGCTGCAGAGCAGTCAATCTTTTCATCAGCACATGAAACATTCTCCAAGACTGACCATTATGTTAGGACACAAAAGAAGTCTTAAAAAGCTTTACAAAGTCAAAGTCACATCAGATGTTTCATCTGACCACAAGGGAATAAAACTAAACATCAATAACAAAAGTAACATTTGAAACTATACCAATACATGAAATTAAGCAATGTATTCCTGAATGATCAATGGGTAATGGAAGAAATTAAGAATGAAATTTAAAAATTCCTTGAAACAAAAGAAAATAGAAACACAACATACCAAAATCTATGGGACACAGGAAAAGCAGTAGTAAGAGGCAAGTTTAGAGCAAAAATGCCTATATCAAAACTAGAAAGATTTCAAATAAACAACCTACCTAACAATGGACAAAGAGACTAGGAAAGCAAGACCAAACCAAACTCCAAATTAGTAGAGGAAAGAAATAGTAAAGATTAAATTAAAGATCAATTTAATATTAATATCAAAGTGACAAATGTATAGCTAATATCTTACAGAAAAGCTTTCAATGTTTCCTTTAAGACCAGAACAAGACAAGGATGTCAACTCTCACCACACTTATTCAACATAGTACTGGATATTCTAGCCAGAGCAATAAGCAAGAGAAATAAATAACAGAAAATACACAAAGATGAAACTAAAAAAAAACACAGATGAATGAAACAAAAAGTCAGTTTTTTGAAAAGATACACAAAATCAATAAATCACAACCTAGGTTAACTAAGAAAAAAATAGCTAAGACTCAAATAAATAAAACCAGATGAAAAAAATACAAATGATCATTAGAGACTATGATGAACAACTATATGACAATAAACTTGAAAACCTAGAGGAAGTAAATAAATTCTTGGGTGCATACAACCTACTAAGACTGAAACAAGAAGAAATAGAAAACCTGAACAGACTTATAATAAGCAATGAGATTTACTCAGTAATAAAATGTCTTCCAACAAAGAAAAGTTCAGAATTGGATGGCTTCACAGCTAAATTCTTCTGATCCTTTAAAGAAGAATTAATACCAATTTTCCAAACTATTTCAAAAAATTAAAGCAGACGGAATTCCTCCTCATTCTATAAGGTGAGCATAATCCTAGTACCAAAACCAGACAAGGACACAACAACAAAAGAAAACTACAGACTGAAATCCCTAATGAACACAGATAAGAAAATCTTTAACAAAATACTATCATATTGAATCTAACAACACATCAAAAAGGTAATACATTATGGTCAAGCAGGATTTATCCCAGGAATGCAAGGGTGGTTCAAGATATACCAATCAATAAATGTCATATCACATCAATCCAATGAAGGCCAAAGTCATATAATCATGCAATAGATACAGAAAAGGTTTTGATAAAATTCAACATTCCTCCATGATTAAAAACAAAACAAAAACTCTTATTAGGAATAGAAGGAAAGTACCTCAAAATAATAAAAGTCATAAATGACATACCCACAGCTAATATCTTACAGATTGAGGGAAAGCTTTCAGCCTGTCCTTTAAAAACTGGAACAAAACCAGGATGTTGACTCTCACCACTCTTTTTCAACATAGTACTGGGTATTCTAGCCATAGCAATTAAGCAAGAGAAACAACAGGCTTCCAAACTGGGAAGGAAGAAGTCAAATTGTCCCTGTTTGTAGATGACATGATCTTATATACAGAAAGACCTAACACTTGACAAAAAAACTCTCAAAACTGACAAATAAATTTAATAAAGTTTAAGAATACAAAAGTAATATACAAATATAATATTAATATACAAAAATTAGTAGTATTTTTAAACATGAACAAGTTAGCTGAAAAAGAAATCAAGAAGACAATCCTATTTATAATAGCAAAAACAGAAACAAAAAAAACTAAAAATAAATTTAGCTAAGGACTTAAAATCCTCATCCCGTGCTCACGGATTGAAAGAAGTAATATTGTTAAAATGACAATACTATCCAAACCAATCTATAAAGTCATTAAAATCCCTACGAAAATAAAAAGGACATTCTTCACAGAAATAGAAAAAAAAGTCCTAAAATTTGTAAGGAACCATGAAAGACCCCAAGTAGCCAAAGAAATCCAGAGCAACAAGAACGAAGTTGGAAATATGACACTACCAGACTTCAAAATATACTGCAAAGCTGTAATAACTAAAACAGCATAAAAGGATACATAAAACAACGGAGCAGAATAGAGAACTCAGAAGATAATCCACATATCTACAGCCAACTGATTTTTTACAAAGTCACCAAGAACAAGCATTGGGGAAAGGACATTCTCTTCAATAAATAATGCTGGGAAACCTGGATATCCATATGCAGAGAATAAAACTAGACCTGCTACCTCTAACCTTATACCAAAATTAACTCAAACTGTACCAAAGACCTAACTGTAAGACCCAAACCTATAAAATTACTAGAAGAAAACATAGGGGAAACGCTTCAGGACTTGAATTTGGGAAAGATTTTATAAACACTTCCAGAAAACAGAGACAACCAAAGCAAAAATAAGCAAATGGAATTATATCAAACTAAAAAGCTTATGCAAAGCAAAAGAAACAATTCACATATTGAAAAAATAACCTACAGGATGTGACAAGATATTTTCAAACTATTCACCTGACAGGGATTAATATCCAAAATATGCCAGGAACTCAAACATCTCAATAGCAAAAACAAAAACAAAAACAAAAACAAAAACCCACAAACAATGCAACTAGAAAATGTGCAAATGATCTGAACAGACATTTCTCAAAAGAACACAAACAAACAGCTAAATAATATATGAAAAAAGATTGTTATCACTAATTAGAAGGGAACTGCAAATCAAACCATGATGGGGTATCATCTCACCCTAACTGGGATGGCCATTATCAAAAAGACAAAAGAAAAAAATAACAAATGTTGGCAAGGATGCAAATAAAAGGGATCCCTTATGCACTGTTGGTAAGAATGTAAACTAGCATAGTCACTATGAAAAACAGTGGGAAGGTCCCTCAAAACCTGCAGATAAAAACACCATATGATCCAGTAATCCCACTACTGGGCATTTATCCAAAGAAAAGGAAATCATTATATTGAAGAGACATCTGCACCTTCATGTTTGTTACAGAGCTACTCACAATAGTCAAGATACAGAATCAATCTAGTTATTCAATAAGATGAATGGATAAAGAAAATATACTATTCAGTCATAAAGAATGAAATCCTGTCATTCACAGTAACATAAATGAAACTGGAAGACATTACGTTACATGAAATAAGCCAGGAACAGAGAGTTAAACACGACTTGTTCTTATGTGTGGAAGCTAAAAAACGTTTATCCCATTGAAGTAAAAAGTAGAACAGAAAATACTAGAAGCTGGAAAGGAAAGGGGAAGTTGGGGAAAGGGAGAGATTTGCTGAAGGATACAAAATTA